GCGGAACTCGACTAAAATTGTGAGATTAACAAGCGAGAATTAAAATTGCCTATTAAGTATAAATTCAAATTTCAAAGAATGAATGAAGACTTGAAATTTAAAACATGAAATGGTCATGGACGTGAACTAGACCATAGAATCGTAATTCAACAAATATATGCACAATATACCCTGTATATTTAATCTGAAGATGAGATATAAGAAATACAGGACGTGTATAAGAATTTTAGTAACAGCAGAACAAGAGGTACAAGAGGTACAAGAGGTACAAGAGGTACAAGAGGTACAAGAGGTACAAGAGGTACAAGAGGTACAAGAGGTACAAGAAGTACAAGAAGTACAAGAGGTACAAGAAATACAAGAAGTATAGGAAGCCTAAGAGATTAATTTAGTGTAGTCCGGATAAAAGATGAGAAACAATATTAGGATCCTTGGAAGATTACAATACTCTTTTTATAAGTAATGGCGGTGGTCTTTTATGACCTGATGGTTGAAATAACATATTGAAATAGAAAAGAACTGTCAAAGGAATTGAGATTAAATCAGAGTAACTTGATCTGTGAAAAAGGATTGACAATAATGTCTGTAGTAGATCAATATTAAACAGTCAATAGGTAATACCACAATGACTTGAAGCTAGGGTTAAAAAAAAAAAAAAAAAAAAAAAAAAAGGAATATAATAGCAGCCTTTTGGAATGAAATCCAACAATACGGAAAAGATGAAGAATTTCCGAAATATGAAATTCAGGGAGGATGTTACTCCAGAATATTAACAGATGTTATGGAATCCAAAACCATATATTAATGCAGATGGGATAGGACACAGTATGATTGAAGGATAGAGAAATTAACCTTTATTAGATTCAAACAAAATATGAATTAAGGGAGGATGTTGATATGTTTGGTATTTCATATTTAGTTGTGATTGGTAGCGCATATGCTATATGCAGGTTATGCCAAGAATGCATGTGCTATGCAGGATCGACATGAATATAAAAGTCACCTCCTTCTAGGTGAGGCGATTTAGAATAAATATAACTTCTTTTTATAAGTTAAGCAATATGGATATAAAATGAATATATACTACCAAGTATAGATTTACTAGCTTGTAGAGTAATGTAGGCCTGTAGACACATATCTATCCAACAATCAAATCATCTAATTATTTGCTTCTGATGTCATATAATCATTTCCTAAGACAATTTAATCAAACTATTGTTACTTCTTTAATTTTTGACTATTTCTCTGTTAATATAGTTAGATAAGATCATGTTACTTAAACCAAAAATTGATTACTAATATTTCATCAAAGTACACATTCAACAACCTCTCAACTTAACGTATCATGTATAACCTAACATTAACAATAGTACCGACAACTTATTCAATACAATAACATCATCAAAATTCCTACTACTTTCATCAGAATCGTCAAACTTCACTGTAACTTATCTCGTTCACTGGCCTTTTCTTACTAGAACTTGAACGAATAAGACCAAGACACTTATCAGGGCTCATAACTTGTTGGATAGATATGTGTCTACAGGCCTACATTACTCTACAAGCTAGTAAATCTATACTTGGTAGTATATATTCATTTTATATCCATATTGCTTAACTTATAAAAAGAAGTTATATTTATTCTAAATCGCCTCACCTAGAAGGAGGTGACTTTTATATTCATGTCGATCCTGCATAGCACATGCATTCTTGGCATAACCTGCATATAGCATATGCGCTACCAATCACAACTAAATATGAAATACCAAACATATCAACATTATATTATCATAGTTACTATATAAATCCTACATAAATTATACATAGGGATATTAGAAGTCTACTTATACCTCTGAGTTCCACACACATGTGTTGTAACAACAACTCTAATAACAAATTATTAGAGTACCCCCTTTCTATTTTTACAACCCCTCCTTTTATTGATAAAACCATCTGTCTGTAACAAGTTACAACAATTTGTAGCAAGTCACAACCTTCTTTCTGTTTTTACAACCATTGTAGCTCACAAACATGTTGCAACATCATCTATAAATGACACTGAATGTCCTATTTTATCTGTATCAACAATAATGTCACACAACCATTGCATTATGCGTCTCCTTCAACTAATATCTTGTTTTCTTAATGCGATAGACTCCATGTCAGTGTCAAGATACTTCCATAGACTGAATAAATCTAAATAGCGCGATATTAAAGTCACCCACAAAACTTTCTTATAGTTTGGCCAATATTATCGCCAACTCAGACTTTGCTCATGAAAAACTCAGTTCCCTCAATCCAAAGCCTTCATCCTACATGCATTTTGCACCAAACGACGATATACAATCTAGACGCTGCTCCTGAACTGTTTCCTGGGAATAAAACAATTCAATAACTTATGGACAAGCTGTAGACTACTGTGTATTTATTCCTAATCAAATAATTCAATAATATATGCCATTCTCCTTTCATTATCACTTTGACCCTGTAAATGAAGTCTGATTCCTAACATTATCTTTTCATTTGTGTGTTTAAGTGTTTAGTGAAGCTAAAATGCAATGCTTGTTGATGAGAGAAATTTAGATTATATTACCACATTTACCCACAGGAGATTTCAATCATGCTTACATGTTTATGTTGATATGTTTGGTATTTCATATTTAGTTGTGATTGGTAGCGCATATGCTATATGCAGGTTATGCCAAGAATGCATGTGCTATGCAGGATCGACATGAATATAAAAGTCACCTCCTTCTAGGTGAGGCGATTTAGAATAAATATAACTTCTTTTTATAAGTTAAGCAATATGGATATAAAATGAATATATACTACCAAGTATAGATTTACTAGCTTGTAGAGTAATGTAGGCCTGTAGACACATATCTATCCAACAAGTTATGAGCCCTGATAAGTGTCTTGGTCTTATTCGTTCAAGTTCTAGTAAGAAAAGGCCAGTGAACGAGATAAGTTACAGTGAAGTTTGACGATTCTGATGAAAGTAGTAGGAATTTTGATGATGTTATTGTATTGAATAAGTTGTCGGTACTATTGTTAATGTTAGGTTATACATGATACGTTAAGTTGAGAGGTTGTTGAATGTGTACTTTGATGAAATATTAGTAATCAATTTTTGGTTTAAGTAACATGATCTTATCTAACTATATTAACAGAGAAATAGTCAAAAATTAAAGAAGTAACAATAGTTTGATTAAATTGTCTTAGGAAATGATTATATGACATCAGAAGCAAATAATTAGATGATTTGATTTACATGATTAGTATTTTTGGGATCGTTTATAAAGTAACGAACTGGTCGAATTGCTGAGCATGGATGCTTTTATGTTTGAAGCTGGTTTTGATACACCATGATTGGTCAGATACGAATATCGATGGCAAAACAGCAGTGTACTCTTAATAAAGATCCATGACTCCTTTTGAATGTATCAGTGTTGCAACATGTTTGTAAGCTACAATGGTTGTGAAGACAGGTAGAGTGTTGTAACTTGCTACAAATGGTTGTAACAATAAAAGGGGGGTTGTAACAATAGAAAGGGGGTACTCTAATAATGTGTTATTAGAGTTGTTGTTACAACACATGTGTGTGAACTCAGAGGTATAAATAGACCTCTAATATCCCTATAGATAATTATATAGGTTTTATATAGTAACTATGATAATATAAGTATTTTGTTTAAGAAACATTAACTATGGAATCTTTAACTCTAAATGTACAAGACATTGATGATCTCATTGTAAGATTGAGGACCGAACGACAAGTTATGAGCCCTGCTTCTGCCAGCGTGCAAGTCAAGTTGAAAGGACTTGAAAACTTCTACACCTGGAAGAGCAGTTTCGTTGACGTCTTCAATCAACTTGGGATCTCAGGTTTCTTAATTCATGGAAATGACTTTTTTCAATTTACTGAAGAAGTTGGTCCTACGGATGTTAATAGATTGAAGAGTAGTGTTGTAGGAATGCTTAATCATGTTCTATCCTTGACCATATCTGACACCATTTGGAAGGAATACAGAGGTTATTCAGGTGATACCGCTTACCTTTCAATTTGTGAGGAGTATGGTAACATTGATTTTACAGCTGCTGCTAGACTCATTAGAAAGTACGGTTTTGGTTCTCCCACTGCTGACGATTGGGAAATGCTTGGAGAAAATGTTTTCTGCCGTTTTAATGGCCAAGAAACTAGTGGACTTATATACTTTGCAACTGTTGGATAGATATGTGTCTACAGGCCTACATTACTCTACAAGCTAGTAAATCTATACTTGGTAGTATATATTCATTTTATATCCATATTGCTTAACTTATAAAAAGAAGTTATATTTATTCTAAATCGCCTCACCTAGAAGGAGGTGACTTTTATATTCATGTCGATCCTGCATAGCACATGCATTCTTGGCATAACCTGCATATAGCATATGCGCTACCAATCACAACTAAATATGAAATACCAAACATATCAACATCCTCCCTTAATTCATATTTTGTTTGAATCTAATAAAGGTTAATTTCTCTATCCTTCAATCATACTGTGTCCTATCCCATCTGCATTAATATATGGTTTTGGATTCCATAACATCTGTTAATATTCTGGAGTAACATCCTCCCTGAATTTCATATTTCGGAAATTCTTCATCTTTTCCGTATTGTTGGATTTCATTCCAAAAGGCTGCTATTATATTCCTTTTTTTTTTTTTTTTTTTTTTTTTTTAACCCTAGCTTCAAGTCATTGTGGTATTACCTATTGACTGTTTAATATTGATCTACTACAGACATTATTGTCAATCCTTTTTCACAGATCAAGTTACTCTGATTTAATCTCAATTCCTTTGACAGTTCTTTTCTATTTCAATATGTTATTTCAACCATCAGGTCATAAAAGACCACCGCCATTACTTATAAAAAGAGTATTGTAATCTTCCAAGGATCCTAATATTGTTTCTCATCTTTTATCCGGACTACACTAAATTAATCTCTTAGGCTTCCTATACTTCTTGTATTTCTTGTACCTCTTGTACTTCTTGTACTTCTTGTACCTCTTGTACCTCTTGTACCTCTTGTACCTCTTGTACCTCTTGTACCTCTTGTACCTCTTGTACCTCTTGTACCTCTTGTTCTGCTGTTACTAAAATTCTTATACACGTCCTGTATTTCTTATATCTCATCTTCAGATTAAATATACAGGGTATATTGTGCATATATTTGTTGAATTACGATTCTATGGTCTAGTTCACGTCCATGACCATTTCATGTTTTAAATTTCAAGTCTTCATTCATTCTTTGAAATTTGAATTTATACTTAATAGGCAATTTTAATTCTCGCTTGTTAATCTCACAATTTTAGTCGAGTTCCGCATCCATTAGTTCTTTAATGTTTCTATTGTCGATGATATAACCAATCACATTGTATATCCCATCGCACACTTATCCCTAATATCATCCTCCCTTAAGCTAAAGAAACCTTGAGAATGAAGCTTACCAGAAAACTATAATTAGGGTAGAAACATCGTTCTAATAATCACCCGCAGAGAAAATAGTAGGATTGCCAATATATTTATCATTGCAAGTAGGAAAAGCGAAAAAGCAATATAATACATCATGATGTCCATAATTGCCTACCTGCAGCTTTATAAATGGGTTGCTCGCCAAACACGACGAGAGTCATTTATATTCTGGTGCCAAATATACATCAAATACGTGCCAAACATGCACCAAACCTGTGCCAAATATGCACCAAACAGGCACCAAATATATGCCAAACATGTGCTAAATCAGCACCAAATATGTGCTAAATAAGCACCGCTACATTCTAAACAGTAGCAAATGATGACCTTATGTCAACAAATTGTAACCAACCACTAAGTGCTGTGCTGCCATACTACCCTCGAACATATGTAGTCAATGGCCGGAGATTCCATCACATGGAGAGCACCTCCTTCCAATGGAATAATCTCAAGTACACAAATAAACATGGTGTTACATTAGAAAAACACTGACTGAATAATCAAACCTTGCTACCAACAAAAGGTATATTCAGCCACAGGGTTGCCCAAATATCAGTTCAATATTGGTAATTGACAGCTGATCTGCTACTAGTCCTACAACATAGTACCCATCAACCACCCAGAGCCACATCTACAGTGCTGTTAAGTAGGGTGTCAAAATTTGATGGTACTATGACTAGCCAAAAAATTGAATCCTGAAGTATCTCTAGCCTACTTCTTAAGGGCATATTCTCTAATATCCCTATTCGTGAAGAGCAATCTTGTCTTCAGGCATTCCATAATAGGAGTCTGCAACCGTATAAATACTTCCTATTACATTGCACTAAGTCCATATAACAATGACTGAAAATGACTTTAAAAAACTGACAACCAAGCTAATGGTGTCCTGCTGGTAGCCTCCGTTCCTACGAACGTTGTACTGTAATTTCGAACAGTACCATATAACTGTTATTGATCTCCAACCCACAGGTAAATTAACGAAATAATGTATCAATCAAGCTTAACCTTTTCCTTATAATAATCGCACCAACATTTTAAAAAACTAAATTCCGTTGGTCTGCTGCTATCTAATACCTTATGAAACATAACGAAGGCAACGAGAATAGGGTTTGCGATGATATTCAAATGATAAAATCACGAAAGGAACTTGATCGGCGTACTTCAAATTAGATAGATCGAAAAATAATAAAATAACCACTAACAAAAATTCCGGACTAAGGAAACGTCCGTCAAAATACGTATATCAATAACTCTCAACGGTTTCTTTGCCAACTCTTGAACATCTGCAATCGTCTGCAAGGGTGTCAAATTTGACAAAAATAAAAACCAAATTCAAACATGTAACCATATCTGTGTCGCAGCACATGGTATATCTAACTGTGACCATTGTCTTCTCAAGACTGTCGGATGAAGGTCCCACGGCATTCGCATAATACAATATGTACATATGCCGACTTCATCTGGTCATTTTCTTCAGCATATGCGTCTCACTTACCGTAACATATGCTGAAAACTCTATCAACCTTATTTGCCAAGATCTTCAATTCTTGTGCTTCTTCTAGGAGCAAATTAACAATATCGTCGTGAGCAACCTTCGGGCTTTGTATAATACACTTCCCGTTTTATAATGACGCATTCAATAATTGCAAATTGGGAACATTTCCAAGAGCGTCATCTAGAGGCAAATTAACTTGCCATATATATGAGCGTTCTTCGTTGAACCCAGTATCGTGAAACATAAAGTTATACAAACTTCAATCATGTTTCATTCTATTACTGCTGAGTCACGATTGTATAAAAAAAAAATAAATTCTTTTGCCAGACGTTGGTAAAATGTGTTATTAATCTCCAAGGGTTTAGTCCTCCTAAAGAGCTGTCTGATAATCGATCTCAAAATCGTTAACATATCGTGTAATAAAGATTTACCAGAACAAATACTAAAACCACTTCAAGAACTTAAGTAAAATGTCATACCAATACATGATAACATTACATGATTATTGCAACTCATTACTTTCTGAAGAAGGTGCTGTTGATAATTCAAGTGAATACCATAATTCATTTCAAGAACAATTCCAAAAACAAATCTATTCTAAAAGTAATTCCAAAATAATTTCAAAAATAATTATTCTACACTAGAGTAATCCTAACTCTAGATTTCCATTGTGAGCACCAAAGACTGTTTGTTAAAAAATGCCCGTAATGTACCTCTCAAGACTTAAAACACTACCCTCCGTGTTCATATTTAAAACAATAATATATCTCTTATCAAATTATTAGGGTACTATCATCGAGTGACGATTTTAATCAAATCAATCATATGTATTGCCACTTGCTTTCCATATAATCTAAGTTGTACATCCTTTCACGGCATATCATTCTTAACATCTTTCGCTATGCTCACATTAAATAACTTTCTCATCAGCCATTTCAAAAGATAATCGAATATCTCTAATTCTTTTGCTGATACATTCAAAAGGAGTCATGGATCTTTATTAAGAGTACACTGCTGTTTTGCCATCGATATTCGTATCTGACCAATCATGGTGTATCAAAACCAGCTTCAAACATAAAAGCATCCATGCTCAGCAATTCGACCAGTTCGTTACTTTATAAACGATCCCAAAAATACTAATCATGTAAATCAAATCATCTAATTATTTGCTTCTGATGTCATATAATCATTTCCTAAGACAATTTAATCAAACTATTGTTACTTCTTTAATTTTTGACTATTTCTCTGTTAATATAGTTAGATAAGATCATGTTACTTAAACCAAAAATTGATTACTAATATTTCATCAAAGTACACATTCAACAACCTCTCAACTTAACGTATCATGTATAACCTAACATTAACAATAGTACCGACAACTTATTCAATACAATAACATCATCAAAATTCCTACTACTTTCATCAGAATCGTCAAACTTCACTGTAACTTATCTCGTTCACTGGCCTTTTCTTACTAGAACTTGAACGAATAAGACCAAGACACTTATCAGGGCTCATAACTTGTTGGATAGATATGTGTCTACAGGCCTACATTACTCTACAAGCTAGTAAATCTATACTTGGTAGTATATATTCATTTTATATCCATATTGCTTAACTTATAAAAAGAAGTTATATTTATTCTAAATCGCCTCACCTAGAAGGAGGTGACTTTTATATTCATGTCGATCCTGCATAGCACATGCATTCTTGGCATAACCTGCATATAGCATATGCGCTACCAATCACAACTAAATATGAAATACCAAACATATCAACAGCAACTATTCCTGATACTAAATGGGGACAAATTGAAAGGGCTTTTCACTCCCTTAAAGAAAGAAAAATCAATGCTATTTTTGATGTTGCTACTATTCGGAAATTAGCTTTACGTATTGGTACAAATCCTCCTGATAATTTAGACTTTACCATTAACCTGGATACCGCTTTAGTTGTTAATCGTAGTAAAAAGGTTATTTGCTATCATTGTAAGAAGGAAGGCCATAAGAAGAATAAGTGTCCAGAACTCAAAAATGAACAATCCAGAAATGAATCGACCAATGGTACAAACACGAGCAAGTCTACATCAAGAAGTAGTTTCTACGTTGGTGATCTGGCTTTTCAAGTTTCTGAAAAACCCAGAAATGCTGTTTTTCATTTTGATTCTGGTGCTTCAAGCCATATTGTTAAGGATATTAGATTATTTTCTGAAATTGACACTAATTTTAAGCATAATGTTGATTGTGCTAATGGATCAACCATGCAAGTTGAAGGTATTGGTAAAGTAAGTCTTCCAGATTTTGATCTTACTAACGTCTACTATATTCCCAAATCGGCGGTTAATCTCATTAGCATCCCTGCAGCAGCCCGTAGGGGTGCTACCTTCGTCTTTGACTCAACTGGAGTCTATGCAGGTTTTGCATCTATTGATCTTGCTGCGAATAAATTATCGCACCATGGTAGTTTACGGGCAAATTTGTATACTATTGAAATTGATACTATGAAAAATGAGGGGGTTGGAAATGCATTTATTGGTAATGTTGCTAGAACTCCTCAGGAAATTTTACACAAGAGACTTGGTCACCCAGGTCGTGGTATTCAGGATAATTTTAGAAAACTCGGAATTCAGTGTCACCTGAAGAATTGCCGTAGTTGTATGAAGTCAAAGATGACTTTCAAATTTCCAAAGTATTCCACTCGGAGAGCTACAACACTTGGAGGAATCCTTCATATGGATGTCTGTGGTCCATTTCCACCAGCCTATAATGGTTGCAAATACTTTCTCACTATTGTTGATGATAAATCAAGATTCATTACAACTTTTCCAATGACTTCTACTGCTGAAGTTGGTCAACTTATTATCAACTTCATTAGATCCTGTGATCGTCAGAATTCTGCAAAGGTTCAAATAGTTAGAACAGATAATGGTTCTGAATTCAATAATGTCAAACTTACTAATTTCTTTCATGAAACCGGAATTCGTCACGAATTGACAGTACCATATCACAGTTATCAGAATGGAGTTGTTGAACGTTCCCACAGAACAATTCAAGAATTTGCTAGATCTTTACTTCGTGATGGATCACTTCCAGATCACTTTTGGCCAGAGGCTGTACTCACTGCTACGTACTTGCTTAACTTAATGCCTCGTCATGCTCCCAAGCATCAGTTGGTCGTTCCATATGAGAAATGGACTGGG